TTTTAGATCACCCTACACCCACCCGGGTAGCGACGGGAAAAAAATTATTCTCTAAAATTATCTCCTTTCACCTTCTTGCCTTCTCTCTTGCTATATTCTGTCGTCTGCTTTCGTCTCCACTTTCTCCCCCCACCCCCTCACCTCCTTGCCCCTTCCTCTGGGCTCCTGACTCTTTCTGCAGTCTTTCTACTGCTACTCTTTAGCTCCTTCTTACTGCTGTCTTTCTGCCACACCCCTGATCTTCTGGTAAGAAAGATCTGCACCTAGCCTTCTCGGACAAGGGCGAAAAATCTCGGAAGGCCCGTGTGCAAGTTGCGCACGTTAAAGATCCCTTGGTGGTCTAAAACCGATGTGAGTAGGCTTCGGCCGCCACCTGGGCAGAATTCACAATTTCCTACCAACTGAAAACCTTTGGTATGTCCCGCGGGCTCAAATGGCCTTATGCAGATGTGAGCGCCGTAAAACACTTTTTTTTTAAACCAACACAAAAAACAAACCCAAAATAGATCTATTTCTTTGTACTTATCTCGTAAGTAGACCCGACCGACCCTCTTTCTACGGAAAGTTCCATTTTCCTTTACGGTGTAGGCAGGGTTGGAACTGGAACTTTGAATCTTCACAACAAACACTTTCCGTTTCGAGTTTATGGGGTGTGCCAACAGACGGATAAGTTGCGTGGCTTGTTGGGCTACGGACGTTGTGTTCTGAGAAATACGTGTGTGGCGCAAATGTTGCACCTACTCTAGGGTTACGTCAGGCTATGTTTATATCTCGACAAATAGATCTAATTATGAAAATACCGAAATAAAATAATTAATAATTTTAAAAAGGACAATAATTTTTTAATGGAAAAGAAAAAAAGGGAGAAAAAACAAAACAACAGAAAGAGAAAAATCGAAATATTACTTTTTTGTTTTTCCAAATTCGTTTCGATTCGAACCCGGGACCTTGGAATGAGAGGCGAACACCTAAACCTCTAGGCCACGAGAGCCCCGAAGTCGGCTGAACAGTGCACAAGGTCACATAAGGCGTACCAATGACTGCAGCTGAAGTTACACTTTGTCCTGGGAAAAGATGGGATCCTGACTTCATACGACCTTCACATACATTCATTGACGACATCATATTATGTGTCTCGACGGATTGACTATGGACCTGCACTGTGTGTGTGTGTGTGTGTGTGTGTGTGG